AAACGTTTTTCTTAAATCACTAAACCAAAATTATTCGCTAATAAAACTAATTCGTTAGTAGCCAATTCATTCTGATCCACATAAACATAAATTATATTGTTATCATCAATTAACACGCTCTCCCAAACAATAATTGGTGACAATATTACAATTTCTTCATGTAAATATTTTTGTTTGATTTATTTATATATAAATAGTTATTAGGAATGCACACAGTAAAAGATATATCAGTTTACTAAAAATAATTATATCAGATTAATACCAAAATCCTTATTTGAACTTTGATTACATGGTAGTTTTTATAATGCTGACAATAATTATTTTTAATTATACTGAATATTTTATTTTATAAAAATTATAATTTTAATATACCATTTACTTATGAAAATGATTACTCATTTTTTAAACCAAAAAATAGTAAATCAATCCATTGAATTAGACAATTTGTAAATATGGGAATGTTGAACTCATCTTAGATTTCAAATGTAATGCTTTTGGTTTCAAATATTATTATTATAAAATTTGAATGAAATTTTATACAATTGATTTACAGGATAAGAATTTATTTAATGATTTAATAGACTACTTACCTATACATTTCCAATCCTTTTATTTAGGATATTATTTTGTTGCATTTTTATTTATAGTTGTAATGTAACTTATGGATTTATTCATTGAATGAAATCAAAAAATTTAATATAAAGGGAACATTCTTGGTTCAAAAAGCAAATTACTTATGAACATTGTAAGAAAGATTTGTTTCCAGATATATTATAAATATAATTTTGAAATTATTTATTTATTTACTAAATCCTAGAGCCTGTAACGACAATAGTAATTACTTACCATTTTATTGCTTATGAGCTTGGAAAACTACCCAAATACCTAAATCAGAAAAGCAAAAAAAAATCATAACTGTTAATGAAATTGAAAATAAATTAATGAAGCAACCAGAACATTTATTATTATTATTTTTTTTGAAATAAAAAAGATTAACTTTCTTGTATGGACTTAAAAAATTTTATTCATGTATGCTAAGATAGGATATTTCTCACAACCTTTGATTTGAAATGTTGGGAGATCCTTGTAAAACTATTTTGCTAGAAAACTTTTCAAAAAAAATCTTCAATAATAAATATTTCTGCAAATATAATAAATAAATACAATCATCATTTAAAATTAAATAATTATTCAAAAGTTCAAAATATTATTGTTATAATGTAACATCCTTTATACTATCATCTTGATAAGCTTCTAATTGTCTTTTTCCTCGTCTTAATAAATATTCTATAGCTGAATGATCTTTTGATGAGATTTTATGTTGCCTGAATTGAATACGAACAAATTCCTGAAATCTTGGTCTTGTCTCCTATAATTTATTAAATGATTAAATGATTGCAAATTAAAAATGAAGAAGAATGGAAATTATATATATATATCTATTATTACAGTTGATTTTTTTCTTATAGCCCTACAACATTGTCGATAAAAATCTATTACTTCTTTTTGTAAACCTGATTTAAGTATAGGTGCAGTTGTCATCATCATCAAAAAGTTGATGATAGTAATAACTAGAATTTTATCATCTGTTTTTATTGGTTACATGTGAATTGTGCAACGTTATTAATCTAAAAAATTCTTTTTACTTTTCATGATTACACAATGAATTTGCTAAAAACAGAATACACATATTGCTGAAAGAAGAAACTACACACAAAACTATTCTTTTAATGATTATCACAAAAGTTTTTTAAACATTGAGATTCCAATAATAATTGATAATGGTATGTGTTTTGAATTGGGGTAATTTATTCACAGGATCCTGAGAAATGTGATTTTGTTTACATAGTTATATAATTTCTAAAAGATTTTAGGTTCATATCAATGTCATGTTGGTTGGCAACTGATGATGATTCACTGTCAAATATGTAGATCAAAATTATGTATGGGTCTCATAATAATTAATATGCAAAAAAAATTTTGGCTCACCAATTTTTTAGTTATAGCCATCAAATGAAAACCCGAAACTTACTCTTCCACTTTATTGCTTAGATGAAATTCTCTCATATATTAGCACAATTGTTTTTTTCTTTTCTGCTGGATTTAGCTCGGACTGGAATCATCTACCACTAATAATGAAGAGACTGATGAAGAGGTTGATGAGTGGTAATGCCACAGCATCAATGATCTCTGATTTATTTAATTGATTGATTGATTGATTCAATTTAAACAACAAATGGGGTTTCTTTATCAAAAAGTAAAATTCAAAGAATGGTCCATTTGTATGACTAACAACTTGGAAAGGTGACAATGATATTACAGCTATTATACATAACGAAGAAAATTCTTTTTCTTTATTTAATTATTGATATTTCTTGCTTTTTTTTAATAAGCAAAAAAATTATGGAAATATTTCTTTAATCAATTCCAATACTTTCTTTTCAGCAAAGATTAATATCGTATTATCAGTATTATCGGATGGTAAATTAATACTAACAAAAAATTGTTTCTTAAATTTTGATGCTTTTTTTTTAATAAAAATTAAAAATCATTCAGTTTACACATTAATTAATTATTGAAATAAATATATAATAAAACTTACCAAGCTTTTTTCCAAATTGCTTGGAAAGTTCATCAATATCATTGGTTAATGCATTTGTGGCAGTGGCTGGCATTGATGAAGTTGGCGGAGGCATTGCAACAGCCAAATTATTCAACAATTCATTTCCTTGATTACCAACCCAAACAAAAACCGAATCTTCTTGAAAAATTGTCAATTGAAAATATAAGGGGCAATTTTTTCTCCTTGTTCTTTCTTCAAAATACTTCTGATGGTACTATAATTCTTAGGTTCCATAGTAGATCTGATGTAAATAATTTCATATTAACTATTTTATCTAGATGAATATCATGATCACGTTACATTAGTGATGACTAAATTTGATCCCTGAAATTTTTGGTAACATCAATGTTCACCACTTTGTTTGGTTTTGTTGCAGTATACCCATATAAAATTTTACTAATAAACTTTTTTTCAACAATTATAAAAATAAAAATTGCATCTTTTCAATCAAAAAAAGATACAACTATAAAATTAAGAGATATTATAACAAATGTAATGGTGACAGAGAGCTTTTTTAATTTTATTAGTAAAATCATCCAAAATGTTAAAAATACTGTTAAACTTTGAAATGTATAGGTTCAATAACCAACAAGTTAGATTAAAAAAAATTCCGCAGTTTTTTCTCTGTGATTTAAAGAATAACCTGACAGAGAGTTTTTTTTAAAATTATTAGTAAAAAAAGGTTTATTAAATGATTAATTCATGATTCTTTTAAGAATGAGTGAATTTTAATTAGTGATCAGTGGGCACATTTGTAACATTTTATAGTAAAAATTATCCAGTTTGCCTTACATATCCTATTGTAACATGATGTTTCCACTTGCATTTTGTAAAAACAAACATTTGGATATCAATAAACAGACTGTTATGAATATTTTTATCAAAAAAAAAAAATTTTTTTGTTCAAGCCATTTTTGCACTATTTCAATCTTGATTGGGGATTATGGGTATAAAATCAACATAATACAAAATAATGGTTTGTCCAATTCTTTCTCAGCTGATTCTTTTTTATGTTCTCTACTGAAACATGCTATAGTGGCAATCATCTAAAGACATCATCAAAAGTTGCCAATCTTTAAGTGCTGATACTTTATTAAATATGGGCTATTTTACCAAAAACTCTCTATTTTTGCA